GACGGAGCAGAGGCTTCTGATAGGAGAGAGAATGACAGGGCCCAGGGACTGCAGGTCTTCCTGAGTTTGAGGACAGGTGGAAATTTCTTAATTTCCCTTTTAGGTAGTTTGTTGTTTGTGTATAGGAACACAATTGATTTTGTATGTTTGCTTTGTGTCCACCGCCTCGCTGAACTGGTTGATTATTTATAACAGGGTTTCTTGTTGTTGTTTCGTCTTTAGGGTTTTCTATGTATATAATCATGTCATCTGCAAACAGAGATACTTTTATTCCTTCTTTTCCTATTGGGGTGCCTTTTATTTCTTTCTCTTGTCCAGTCTCTCTGGCTAGGACTTCCATTATTACGCTGAAAAGTAGTGGCAAGAGTAAGCATCCTTGTCTCATGCCAGATCTTCGAGGGAAATCCCAGCTAAATCCCACTTAGACTTGGTGCACGATCCTTTTAAAGGCTACTGAATTCAGTTTTCTGGGATTTTATTGAGGATTTTTGCATCTGTATTCATCAGGGAGATTGGGCTGTAATTTTATTTTCTTGTAGAATCTTTGCCTGGTTTTGGTGTCAGGATGATGCTGGTCTCAAGAACTGAGTTTGAAAGTGTTCCTCCTTCAATTTTTTGAAAGCATTTAAGAAGCATTGGTATTCTGTTTTGGGTGTTTGGTAGATTTCACCCATGAAGCCATAGGCCCTGGGCTTTTTTTTTTAATCCTTTCCCAGACAAACAAAAATCTGAGGGGTTTGTTGCCACTAGACCTGCCTCACAAGAAATGCTTAAGAGAGTTCTTCAGATTAAAATAAAAAAAACCCCACTAAACAGCAATGGGAAAGCATAGGAAAGCATAAATCTCACAGGTAGAGGTAGCTATCTGGACACACATAGATTGATGTCATACCACAGAGGTGTCTGCTGACTTCTGTGTTAGGGTGGAGAGGGCTGTTGGGTACTCCTGGTCTCCCTTCCTCCTGCAGAAGGAAGTCATGGCTGAAGGCATCCCTCTTGGTTCTGGCATATGGGTGCTCTCAGTGCAGTGGTGCTGCACGGGTCCGGGCATGGGTGTGTGGGCTGGCTGTGGAGCTGGAGACTTACATGTGGTAATGAGAGGTTGGTGGCAGCTGTGGCGTGGGGCTTTGGGGGAATGCACATTGGCGGCTCTGGCAGGGGAAGGGGGTGTCAAGTCTTTTCTGTTCCCTTTCTCTCCAGCACCTAGCACACGTGGTGAACTCCTGAAGAAATATTAATATTAAGGAACTGATGAAAGTGTATACATTTAAAGTAATTTAAATGTCTACCAATAATGGATTAATAAATTTTGATACATGCAAACAAGTGATCACTACACATTCATTAAAATATAGGGTAACATTGATTAATGGTATGAGAAGTTGTCCACAGCATAACAGTAAGTGAAAAGGGTAGTTACAGCACAGCTGTAACGCACCGTCTTGCACTGGGCTGGTGTGGGGAGTCATTTTTGTCCCAGACTGAATAAATGCAGGATGAAGAGGGACGCAATATGTCCTCCTATCCCCTTTAAGCTATGGGACAAAAATGGAATTCCTTTTGAGTGACAAATTATTATGCAGCAATTGTCCATGATGCATCAGCATGCAAAATTTGTTAATTAGCTGGCTTCAAGGTTTTTATTTTTATCTTGTTGCTCAGCAATAGATATTGTACTTGTGAACATTTTCCTACTTATTGCTTTTAAACATCTGTTTAATTACTTTCTCAGGATAAATTCCCAGGGGAAATGATTGAATCAAAGGTATCCAGTAACATTCTCTGTGACTCTAGCCTGGCATTGCCACATTGTGTTACCATTTAGAAATCTGAGCCCTATTTTTTTAAATTGAAGTATAGTCAGTTTACAATGTTGTGTTCATTTCTGGTGTACACTATAGCGATTCAGATATATATATGTGTATATATACATAATACATATATATTCATTTTCATATTCTTTTTCATTATACACTATTATAAGGAATTGAATATAGTTCCCTGTGCTATACAGTAGGACCTTACTGTTTATCTATTTTATATATAGTAGTTAAGATCTGCAAATCTCGATCTCCCAATTTATCCCTCCACCCCACCCTCCTTTACCCCGTGGTAACCACAGGTTTGTTTCCTAAGTCTGTGAGTCTGTTTCCACTTTGCAAATAAGTTCATTTGTCTCATTTTTTAGATTCCACGTATAAGTGAAATCATACAGTATTTCTCTTTCTGGTTGTTTTTATTTTAGAAACACAAAAGCATTGATGAACTTCTTGTTTGCTGAGGAAATCCTTAGGTTGGGTAGATGAAGACTCAACGTGCAAATTGGAAAAGGTTTTGCCTTAAGGATTTACGTATTTTCCCCCAAATCTTCAGGGGAGCCCGGACATACTCTCGGGTTGAATTACCTGTCCTTTAGCGCCCTCTTCTGGGAGATTTACTCATCAGCCTGTGTGGCTCTGCCCAGGGGAGGTAAGAAGGTGGCTGAGAGAACATTGGAGATGGGGTACAGCAGTTTGTCTGTCACCTGAGGACCTATCATCCTGATGTCACCTGTATGGAGGCCAAGCCTACACATCTGGGCTCCCTTAGAGTAGGTCACTCCCACCAGCTGCAGTCGGTTATGTCCTTACAGCAAGGGTGTTCCCATCACTTCGCTCTCATCTCTCATCCATGACCCAACCCATTAAAAACTCAAGCGAACGTATTTACAAAACAGGAACAGACTCACAGACATAGAAAACAAACTTATGGTTACCGGGGGGGAAGGGGTAAACTGGGAGTTTGAGATTTGCAGATTCTAACTAATATATATATAAAGTAGATAAACAGCAAGTTTACACTGTACAGCACAGGGAACCATATTCAGTATCTTGTAGTAACTTATGGTAAAAAGAATATGAAAATGAATATAGGTATGTTCTGTATGACTGAAGCATTGTGCTGTACACCAGAAATTGGCACAGCATTGTAAACTGACTATACTTCAATAACAATATATTTAAAAAAAAACTTCTCTATAAGCGACTTTCTTTGCACAGGAGGAAGTGGTAGCTCTACCTTGGCCCACAAGGCCCTTCACGTTTTGTCTCCATCATGCCTCTCCAGCCTTGCTCTTACTAACTGCTCGGGACGTACCCTGTGGACAGCATCTTCCAAGCAGGCCATTCTCTTCCATGCCCCCATGGTTTTGCCTGTGCTGTTTCTCCGTCTGGAGTGCCTGCTCCTCCATGCTTTTCCTTGCAGCCAGATCTTCAAGTGCCACCTCAGATAGCACCTCCTGCAGGAAATGTTCCACAACTGCCCAGGCAGAAGGCGCTCCTTCCTGGACTCCCAGAGTATCCTGTTCATGCCGCTAAGTTAGTAGTGTTCCCAGTGCATTGTGCCCTTGCATAACTGTCCCCCGACTTGTCCCCACCCTGTGAACTGGCCCCACATCTTACATTGCCTAGAGAGGGCCTGGTGCTCGAGAAACATTTGTTGATGATTGAATGTGCTTCATGACTGTAGAGACTGGGGGTTCACTAATGGAGGGAGGACATTCAAGGCAGAGATATTTAAGTCGTGTGTCTGACTCCACCCAAGCCCTGGAGCTGAGATGACAAGCTCTGAGGCAGGGAGATGGATAACGTGACCCTCTATGGTTCTGAGATGCTTCAGATTAGGCTCTGAGGGCAGGTGGGTCCCTGAAACGGGCTGAGTTAATCACAGGACACAACTGAAGTGTGATGTCATCTCAGGAAGGCAGTGAAGACGCAGCCGTGATGCGGAGCACCTGTGGAGAGTCAAAGCACTGGCTGCCACAACTGGAGGCACCGAGGGCGGGCAGGATGTGGGACTTGGTGGTGGGGCCCCTGCTCTCACAACTGCCTCCTGCCTGAGTGCTGGGGAATCTCTGGGATAAAATGCAGGTACGGGCTGAGGACTCAGAGCAGCCTCACCCGACAGCAACAGGTCAGCACCCGGGCCATGACAGCTGAGGGGGTGGAGCTGTGAGGGGTCTGCGCAGGTCCAGGGAGGCAGAGGGGCTGCTTCCCTGTTTGGGAGATGTGTGCCGTGTAGGTGGATGTCTCAAGGGCATAACTGTGGCTCGAAGACGTTTAGCGCCTTAAATTAAAAGCACGTCTTTTGGGTTGTTCCAACAGGGTAGGACTCCGGCTCCAGGCGGCGAGTTGTGTGATTTGGGGAAACTTACTGTAACTTCTCTGAATTCCATGTCCTCCTGCGAAAATGAGGGGAATGATGCCTGCCTCCTAAGGTCATTGTGAGGGTTACATGGGAAGCTGGACATAGAGTGCTGTGTCCAGTGCCTGGCTGGCTCGGCAAGAGCGGGAACCAGTGGTTGTCATGACTCTTCTCCTTACAGAATCCAGGGAGGCCTGCCGACCCGACGGGACAGCCCTGCCTCCTGAGGACAGGGCTCTCATCCCCGCAGGACGGGGGAGGGCACCCGCCATCCACCGTGCGCAGAGCACCGGGGTGGGGCTGCGGGGGCCCCTCCCACCCTGACACTGAACAGCCCAGCGCCCAGAGGCCCCGGGAGGCCCGGGAAGTCGGGGCTGAAGGGCCCGCGCCGACGGCACGCGGATGCCTTCAGAGAGGGTGAAGGCAGGGGCAGGAGCAAGCTGGGAACCCCCGTGCGGTCTGCACATCGGACTGTGAAAGAGAGACAGTGCTCGAGCAGGCAGGGGCCCGGGCGGTGTAATTCTTTAACTATTCCGTTTGGGGTGTAAAAGAGTCTATGTTAGTGGCAGTCTTGCCTTCTCAAGAGGTTTAAACATATTTCCATTGGAAAAATGCTGTCTTGCTTTGAAAAATCTCATTTCTTCTCATTCTTGACTTGAGTGACTCCTAGGCAGAGGGCGGGGCCGGAGGGGTGGAGGACACAGCTCCCATCCTCAGGGAGGCCGCCGTCTCAGGGAGGGGCAGAGTCCTGTCCTGAGGGCTCGTGGCAAAGCTTCCCGCAGGACAGGGACTCGGAGCCACAGCTGCAAGGGTTCAGGTGGAGGTCAGGGAGGGGACCTGAGACCAGGTCGGCGGGAGGGAGAGGCCAGGAAGTTCCTGGAAGAAGGGTGCACCTGCTGTGGCCTGGCCTCAGTGTGGCCTGCTGGGCTGTGTTCTCCTCCCAGACTCCCCACTGTCCCCCGCTGCTGCACCCCTGCATCTCCAGAACTACTCCCATCCTGGGCCCAGGCCCTGCCGCCACGATGGACACACCAGTGGAGAGATCCCTCTTCCAAATCATCCACTGCTACCACCAGCACGCGGCCCGGGAGGGGGACACGGAGGCCCTGTCGCGGGAGGAGTTGAAGGCCCTGCTCATGGACGATGTGCCCCACTTCATGGAGAGCTTGGTGCGTGGGGTTTGGGGTCACATGGGGATTAAGCAGGGGGTTGCTTGCGGGGTTGGAAGTGAGTGGCCAGGGTGTCGGTCACCGCCCAGGAGAATTTCCACTCAGGGGAGGGCGTGTGAGGGAGGGTGGAGGGCAGGATCTGTGAGCAGGGGTAGCACAGGCCTCGCCCTCCTCTCTTACTGCCCTTCCCTCTCCTGAAACTCCCTGCCTGGCCCCACTCCAACCCAAACACAGCTAATCCCTGAAGCTCAGGCCTGACCCCGAACCTGTTTGTTCCCTTACCTGCTTCTGGAGGGAACACGTCCTAAATCTCCCCTCTGCCCTCAGTGACCTGGCCCCAAACCTGCCCTTAGAATCCCAGCCCCTCCTCCTGGGGTCTACACAAGCCTCCTTCTTCCCCACCCCCTCCATGCCCAGGGAGGACAGGTCGGGCTGTGGTGGCTGCCCAAAGCCTGCTGTGGGTAGGAAAGGTAGCTTCGCCTCCTACCTCCTGTCCGAGGGGCTGAGTCCCTCAGAGCAGGCTGGGCTCAGTCACCCGCCTCAGGCCGCCGCATCTCTGACATCAGGCCCAGCTCTGTGATGACCGGGCTCCTTGGGGACTTCAAGGCCGGCAGGAGCATCTGTGGGGCACTGCCTCGGCCCTTGGTGCCACGTCCCTGGGGTCTCTGGGCTGTCATGTCCAGGGGGCTTCACGTCATGCCTGACTTGAGGCCCTGCATTCCAGGGGAGGTGCTTCCTGTGGTCACTTCTCATGTCCCCTGCCTGCCTTTGGAACCCATCAGAGGAGACAGACTTACCCTCAGTTTACTGGAGTGCAGCCATGAGGGTCACAGAGAGGGGACTAAGATGAATGGTTAGTCCCCTGTTTCTAGGGAAATCCTTTCCTGTCTAGAGCCATTGCCTGTACTCTGGGGCTGTGAAAGTACCCTCCAGGCCTGCCCTCGGGGGCTCACAGGGCAGACATAGCAGCCTGGGTTGGGGCTGAGGTGAGGAAAGCAGGGGGAGCCTGCCCAAGGCCGCAGGCCTCCAGTTTCCTGGGTCAACCAGCTTCACAGAGGAGGTAAGATTATAAGGAGTAGATGGTGGTGGGGCAGTGGAGTTGGCAGAGGGGGCAAACCTGCCACGGGGACGAGGGCCGCCCCCAGGCTCACAGCTGCTTGTGGATGCAGTGACTTTCTTGCCAGACACTGTCTGAGAACTTCACACCGGCTTCCCCATGCCCAGCCACCAAATCCTGCTGAAATATGCTTTTCCAGCCCTGCCCAATTCTCCCACCTTCCCTTCACCTGCCCTCTGACTCCTGAATTCCTCCCTGCTGTCCCTTCCACTTCAAATCTCCTTTCCTCTCCTACACCACCCTTGATTCTCAGCCCTCAGGGTCATCTGCTCAGGGATGTCCTGGCCAGCTCCAGGGCCCATGGCTCTGTCCTTCCCTTTTTCTGCACTTCCCGTAGGCGACACAGGCACAGAGGCCTCATCAGATGTCACAGCACGCAGACGTCCGGTCCCACCTGTGCTGCCCCTGCAACAGTGCTGGGGATGTGGACACGAGGACAGGTGGGCTCTGCCCTGGGGAGCTCCCAGAGTGGAGGGGGAAGGCACCGCCGTCCACCCAGCAGCCCTGGGCTGGGCTGTCTCTGCGGGGGAGACAGGCTTAAATGGCCACTGACAGTGAGCAGACGTGAATTGTGTCAGCCGGGTAACAGAACCCAGTCTGCACCCTCTGTCTGCGCACGCAGCCCCAGGTCCAGTTAGCTGAGGTCCTCACCGCATCTCTGCCTTTTCTGCTGCGTGTGGTGTCCTGGCCACTGAGAGTCTGAGCGAGAAGTTGTCTCCCACAAGCCCCTGGCAGGCGGACCCAGGCCGCAGTTCCCCACCCCACCGCCCACCAGCGGGCAGTAGAGGCCTGGACATCGCTGTGGGGCCCTGCCTGTGTGCATGGCTGACCCTCTGCCCACTCCTCAGGCCTGGAAGAAGCCGCGCTACCTGACAGAGTTGTTCTGGGCAGCAGACGACCAGATCTGCTTTGATGAGCCCCTCTACGTCTTGGGCAAGCTGCTGACGGACGACCACCTGCAGTACCACCGCCAGCTGTGCGCCCACTACTGCACCCAGCACAGCCTCTATCAGAGGGCACGCAGGCAGCTGCAGACGGGCCTGCCGGGGAGCTGCAGGGACAGCTCTGCCGTGTGCCTGTGCAAAGGATGACTGTGAGGGAAGAGAATAAAGCAACTTCATAAATATGTCTGGGGATTGTTCAGTTCATGGTTCTGGGCATCTTCTCTGGGTCCAGAAAGAGGAAGTTTGGTCCTACCTTGGGGATCATCCACCTTGGGTGAGAGATAAAGCTCCTGCCTCCAGACGCCCCTGTCTGATGGGGGAGACAACTCTTGCCCTCAGCTTCCAGCAGAGAGGGAGGGGTCTATTCTTAGGGAGCTGACTCTGATCACTCATTCACTACACATACAGATGGGACAGGAACCAGGAGGGCAGAGGCACACTGGACACCACGGACCCTGCTTTTGTAGTTCTCCCAGCCTCAAAAGAGAGTCCCAACAAAGGTGAAGAGTGTTCTGGGCCTGGGGAAGGGCCAGGACAGGGCAGGGAAGAGGATGCTGGTAATTGACATCAGGTGGTGGGTGGCAGGGCCGTTCTGAAGGAAGATGGTGAGGAGAGTTTTGTGCACGCTGAGTCAGAGAGGGGACAAGGGCAAGGCTGGCAATGCAGCCTGTCATGGGAAAGACCGATGAGTGGAACCTGGGCGACTGTCAATCAGGGAAGGCTTCCCGGAGACAAGGGTTGGGTCTGGTTTTTACTAATAGAAAATGATGATGAATGCGGGCACAGTTCTGACTCAGGGCTATTTGTGACTCCCTGATTCTTTCCTAATAAGACCTGCCCCTGCCCTGTCTCTGTGTTGTTTGTTTTTGTCTCTCTTTGGGAGCCCAGGAATCTGGTGAAGAATCTTTTGGGGAGGATCTCTCCTGCATTTAAGCCCTGCTTGGTGGGTTTCTTCTCTGAGGATGGTCTGGAAACCTCTGTACTGAGCTCACTGTGATAGAAACAATGAGTTTTAAGAATAATGGGTGATCTGTGTTGTTTCCCTGTGCAGGTGATTGGGGGTGGGGTCATTTAAGGGACTTGGTTCGATTCCCTCCCCTATCTGGGTCCATGAGCCAAATGTGGGGAGCAGCACCCTGCAGGCTGAGCTGGGGACCTCGTTGTCTGATCCGCAGAGCTCAGAAGCAGGCCCATCATGGACGCCCCAACCATACTTGCTGATCCCCAGTGCTCGCCTTTCAGGACTCAGCGGGCCCACCCATCTCCCTCTGGACCTCTTGGGCGCTCCCCAGGTCTGAATCTCCTCTGTGGAGGTACATGTCCTGCTGCACTGCGGTTGTGTGTTGCAATCTATGTTCTCCACCCAGCCAGGGACCACATTCTGCCATCTCCGTGTCTGGGCACAGTGTATGCTCAGCGAGGATTAGAATGAGGGATGTGGGAATGGGGCCTGTGGGTGGGATTCCCAGGACCTGGGTCTGTGCTGCCTCCTGCAGGCCACTTAGTTACTTGGAGACAGTTGGCTGGGTGACCCAGGCCACCCTTGCCCCAGGCCCAGGTGGATGCTCCCTGCCTGTCTCACCTGAAACATGTTGGGCTCCAGAGGCCTTTGAATCTGAAGGGGAGGCTCAGCCCAGTGCTCCGAGCCCCTTCCTGGGGGGTTTCTCCGCCGGCCCTGCCTGCTCTGTCCTCATTTCTGCAGCCCCGGGCCTGGCCGGGTCGGGTCTATTGGGACATGCTGGCGGGACCAGGTTCTGCTTCCCGAGGTTGCCCCACATCTGTCAGGCTGATGGCAGACACTGCCCTCCCCTATGTGCTTGCCCAACTCCTGACACCTTCTCCTGCCAAGTCAGCCCACCCTGGCCCCTGCTCTCCCTGAAGCCCCCTAGTCGGTCTGTCCAGGGGGAGCGTCTCCGGGGACAGCGTTTCAGCAAGTCCACTGACAAGCACATGGTGCTGGAGGAGGTCAAGGCTTGTGTCTCCCTCGCCGGACCTGGGACTTGTTTCCCTTACTCTCTGGGCGAAGAAAGCTGTCTCCACAAGGACATTCTCAGGGCAGTGGCTTCAAGGGAGGAATTCCTGAGGAGTGGGGGTCCATCAGGCTCACAATCACCCCCCTGAGCGAGGTCAGCGTGAGCGCCCTCCCGGGCTGGTGAACGAACCCTAATTTGAATCTCAGTAAAGCCACCTTGCTCGTGCCAATGTGTGCATTTTTGGCACTTAAGCACCAAGACAAAGAAGAAAACAGGCCCACAGGACTTGGAGTAACTCCCGGTGCCTGTTTCCTCATCTGTCCCATGGGGATAATTGTACCTGTGATGTTCAGTTCACAGGGTTATGACATGAGTTAATGGATATAAAAACACTTTGAGAATTTGTTGTGCTGTTTGGGGTAAGATGCTACTGTGCCAGCACATATAGGAGAGGGCTTGGTGAATACTAGGTGTGCACCCAGCGCTTGATGGTTGGTTGAAAACTTGTCATGTTAAATGTCAGAAATAGCTTTATTTTCCTGTCAAGAGGTTGACCAGCCAAGGAAGTTAGACTGCATTCATTTAACGGATGTATATCCTGCCTTGTTCTAAAAATGATTTAAAGCGGCTGATTGCAATGAAGGAAATTCCTGCATTGGATCAAGGATAGACCATTGTTCAATTTTGCATTCATTTTTCCCCTCAGTAAGTATTAATTGAGCACCTAGTATGTGCCAGGCCCTGAGATGTGATGTGGTTTATGCTCTAAAGGGGCTCCCAGTCTTAAATAAAAGACAGACAGACAATGAAGAGGTGAGCCACACTGTAGTGCAGCAAATGTTGCGATGTAGAAGCATTCGGCAGCATGGAGGAGAGAGGAATTAACTCAGTGCCGATAAGAGTCGGGGAAGGAGAGCCAGGATGGACTAGGAGCAGATGGCGCCGGGTTGGGTCAGGTTGGACGAGGAGGACTTTACCGGCAGAGGGGCATTCCAGGCAGCTGCAGCAAGTGGATGACGTCACAGCGGGTCATAAGTCACCCAAGTCATTTGATGCCCCCAATGTTGTGTCTCTCTGTTGGCCTCAGTTTCCTCACCAGAAAAGTGGGATTTATGACAGTTCCTACCTCATAGGATTATTGTGGGAATTAAACGGATTGATGTAAGTAAAGAACTTACAACAGTCCCTGGCACGTGGCAAAAGCCCAGTACGTCTTAGCTATTCTTTTGTTACTGTTTGTCCTTGTTGATTGTGTGGCTGTTGTTGTGAACGTCAGCCACTGTGCTGGGTCCTGGGGCGGCAGAGGTGGATGACCCAGTCTGGGTCCTGGAGGACTCACCGTCCAGCTGGGGAATCGGACACATTTACAAGGCAGTAGTCACACTCACACCGTGCTCGCTTACTATGAGCTGCCCTAAGCACACGTTTTTTGCCTAAACTTTTAATTAAAATAGAATACATATTTTAAAACCTTTTATTTTTATTATTTTAAAAAACTTATTTATTAAAATTTTTTTTGGGGGAGAGGTAATTAGGTTTATTTTATTTATTTATTTTACTGGAGGTACTGGGGATTGAACCTAGGACCTTGTACGTGCTAAGCACATATTCTACCACTGAGCTGTAGTCACCCTCCCCAGAATACATATTAATAAAAGCCCACAAATCATAAATATTTTGCATCTATTATTAATCCCCACAATGATACCATAAGGTAGATTTTTATTATTTTTTTAGGTGAAATCGTTTAGAATTTTAAAACATTTTAAATCGTGGTAATAGACATGTGACATAAAATTTACCTTCGCTACCATTTTACGCGTCCAGTTCAGTGGTGTCAAGGGGCCAAGGGTGTTCACATTGCTGTGTAACCAGTCTCCGGCACTGTCATCATCTGTAGCTGAAGTCTGGACCCAATAAACCACAGCTGCTGCCCCCCCCCCGACCATCAGCCACATTCTACTTTCAGTCTCTGAGTCTGGGCACTCCAGGTACCCCGTGTAAGTGAGACCACACCGTATTTGTCTTTTTGTGTCTGGCTTCTTTCACTTAGAATAACACCCTCGAGTTTCATCCATGTGGTAACACGTGTCTGAATTTCCTTCCTTTTTAAAGGCTGAATAACATTCCATTGTATGTGTAGACTCCATTTTATTTATCCACTCATCTGTGGGTGGACACGTGGGTTATTTCCACATTTTGGCTATTGTGAATAATGCTGCTGTCAACATGGCTGTGCCAATATCTTTTTTGAGACTCTCTTTTCAATTGTTCTGGATACATATCCAAAAGTGGAATTGCTGGATCATATGGTGATTCTGCTTTTAATTTTTTGAGGAACTACCATCCTTTTTTCCCACAGTGGCTGCACTTTTACCTTCCAATCTGTAGTGCACAGGGGTTCCAATTTCTCCACATCCTTTCCACACTTGTTATCTTCTGTTTTTGTTGACAGTAGACATTCTAATGGGTGTGAAGTGGTATCTCATTATGGTTTTGATTTGCATTTCCTAATGATTAGTGATGTGGAGCATCTTCCCATGTGCTTACCGGTCATTTGTACGTCTTCTTTGGAGAAATGTCTATTCAAGTCCTTTGCCCAGTTTTCAATTGAGTTGTTTGTTTTTTTGTAATTGAGTTGTAGGAGTTTATATATTCTGGATATTAATACCTCACCAGATATATGATTTGCACATACTCTCTCATATTCTGTAAGTTGAAGGTTGTTGGCTGTATTTTCAACCTCTACTTAACAATTGAGGCAACTAAAGCACAGAGAGGGCAAGTAATTGGCTCAAGGTCACACAGCTATAATGGTAAAGATATAATGAAGCCCCAAAGGCTGTAGAAACATGGAGAGAGGCTAATCCCATCTACTTCCACCAGGAGGCGATAATGGCCTAGGACTTGGAGAAGGGCAGGGTAAATATCTGTTCAATGCATCAAGGAAGGAGAGAGGAAAGGAGTTTTCTCAGCAGAGTCATGTTCCTGTCAGACCATGCTCTGGAGGCCGATGCTCTGGGATCCTGTGCGGGCTCGGATGCATCCACCCTGGGAAACTATGTGTGAATCACTTCACCTTTCTTGGCCTTGGCTTCTGTGTGCTTAGACTGAGTGGGTTCTGTGCCCCACATTTCTGGTTAGGCTCTTAACAGGTTATGTGAGTGTGAAGTGCTTCATAACAAGAGAAATGCACCACAAATCTTCAGTGTTGGAAACCAGTTTGTCAGAGCGGTCTTTTGTTGGGTGAGGGAGGGACTTGCTCTTCCTGAAATCCGCTGAGAGCTGGGATGCGGCGGGTAATTGGCCACCTCCTCTTCTCCTCCTGGACATGAAGCACTTCTCCGAAGATCCCCTCATCCTCGACCCCCACCCCCATAGATGGGGTTCCTCTTCAGCCCAGGCTCCACAGTCACCCCAGGGAGGCCTGGAGGGTCCCTGCTGCGTTTATGCAGTGGCTCAGTGCCTCATGCATGCAGAGGGACCCCAAGGCAGCCTCCGTCTCCCTGGACACAGTGCACCCCCAGCTTCACAGAGCAGGAGAGCTGTGAAGGGACGTGGAGAGAAATCAGGAGAGAAACTGATTTAGCCCTTAGCAGCACTTGTCTCCCGCTTCCTGTAGCCCCCGGTCCAACCACACACAATACAACAATAGAAACACTCCACATTTCATTACTGGGACAAGTGTTCCTAATCTATTAGGGGTCTTTGGACACTTTTTAGAAAGCAATGAAAGCTATAAAGGAATGAGCTTATGCACCTGCACTCAAACTGATGCACTCAACTTCCATTCCATTTCAGGGAGGCACAGACAAGCCACAAGGCATGAGATTAACCACAGCCATGGTGGGAAGGACTGAGGAGTGGGCATCCTGGTTGGCCAAGCCAGGGGATGCGAGCAGCCCACAAGAGGGGTCCTCACCATGCCCTCTTCCTGGCTTCTCCTGCTGGGCATCACTGTCTGGCAAATGCCTTCCTCCTTTCCTCCTCTGATCCCCCCGCCCCCTGGAATTTCTCATTCTATACTGTGATTGCCCCATTCATCTGGTTGGGAAACTAGAGGCTGTAGCAACCCTGGAGAGGAGCAGATGCCTCCGAACAGCCTGAGGTCTCGGGCAGCTGGCCAAGTCTAGCTGCTATAAAAGGGAGCGGACACTCAGCCGGGCATATCCTCTGGCAGCTCTGTTTCGAGTAGACCTGGTAAGTGGGGCTGCCCGGTCTGCCCCACACAATGGGCTTCCCCTGGGGAGGGCCGAGGAGTGCAGCGGCCCTCTCTGAGGGAGGGGAGAGAAAGCTCAGGGAGGTCTGGACCGAGTCCAGAGCTGAAGAAGGAGCTGAGCGCTCTAGCAATTTTGGGTGAGGGCACATTTGTTTCCCAAGCCCGGCCCTTCTTGGGCAGAGGCTGGGGGCGTGGGGAGAGCCGGTGGGCTCCCACCCCATGCTTCCCACTGGGGCCTTAGCCATCGGCTGGATTTAGTTATTTGGTTGATGAAGCCCAGGACAAAGCCACTCCCTAGGGTAAGAGCCTTCCGAGCATGCCCCTAGGCACCCCCTCCCCAGGATTCCTCATTTGCTTCTTCTTCCAGGTGGCGCAGATCCTTGGACACCATGCTGACAGATCTGGAGGGCGCCATAAACAACATCATCCAAGTCTACCACAACTACTCCCTGCTGAAGGGCAATCACCATGCCATCTACAGGGATGACTTGAAGAAACTGTTAGAGACGGAGTGTCCTCAGTTTCTGAAGGTGAGGAGGGGCTGGGTGTGGCCAGGGCTCTCTGCACGGCTCTGAGGATGCCCTGGGTCGCTGGTCCCTGCGTTGCCCTATGCAGACAGCCATTCCTTAGCTTCCCTGAGAGCTTTACACTCTGGCTTCTTTCTCCCCAATTTTCACAGAAAAAGAATACAGATACCTGGTTCAAAGAGCTGGACATCAATGAGGATGGCGCAGTGAACTTTGAGGAGTTCCTCATCCTGGTGATCAAGGTGGGCCTGGCAGCCCACGAAGACATCCACAAAGAAACCCACAAAGAGTAGCGGAGCTCCCACGCCCGGGGGCGGGGCCCGGGGCCTGTTTCCTTAGAGGAATAAAGTAGTTCATACCTCAGGCCTCTCCTGGTCTCTTGCTTTTTCTCTTGCGGAAGGAGATCGCAGGGGAGAGGAGGCAGATGGAGGGAGGCTTGGAAAACCCAAACGAAAAATAAACTTGTTACCCCGCCTCCCACTCTCTGTGTGTCACGAGCCTCCAGTGCTCCCACTTGTCTGGTTTCCTCCCTGTGTTCTTCCCAAACGATTCCTGAGTCTCTTCCAGGCCCAGGATCCCGCGTCATTGGTTCTAGGGCTTAAGGATTCTAGTACGTCCATGACACTATCGTGGGTGACTTTCCTGCTTGTTTCTGCCGATTAAAAAAAATGCACAACCTAAAAGTTGAGAGTTATATTTTATTCTGGGGACTTTCTGAGGTCTTGAGCCTGGGAAGTGGCCTCTCAGATTGCTCTAAGGGCCTGCTCCGGAGAGGTAAGGGAGGAGCCAGGATATATAGAAGTTTTTGCAACAAAGACCAGGTAGTCAGCACATTAAAAGATTACTGTCAATTAAGAAAGCTAAGTAGCTCAAGTTAAGGAATTTAGTGCTTTTTAGGTACAAAAGTCAGGGCTCATTAAAATCATTCCTTTGATATGACTAGCATCTAGGGCCAGTGTCCTGTTCTTTCCCATCCTGCTGGGGGTGGCTGCGGAGGCCAGGCTGCCTGCTTGTCTGCACCCTGAGTTCCCTCTGCTCATTGTTGGGGGCGGTGGTAGCGACTGGTGACTTGATGGCTGCAGCATCCTTTGTTTACTGATGTGGCAGGCAATATTTTTCATCCACATTTCCAAATGGGTAATATGAGGACAGGGTGATGTAAGGAAAGCTCATACTATTCTCTAAACTAAATTTTAATTTCCAGATAAGTGTTTGAGATGAGACAGGGTGTGTGTGTGTGTGTGTGAGAGAGAGAGAGAGAGAGACAGAGAGAGAGAGAGAGACAGAGAGAGAGTCTGTGTGTGGTGTGACTTTAGATAGATGCTTAGAGTATTACATTAAGTGACAGTAATGAGACCCCTGGTCCCACACTTATAATTTCTCCTTAAGAGATTTTTGGAAGCTGCCCCCTCTCTATTCCCAACTTGATTAAATAATAAAGGAATGGGCAGATAGGCCAATACATTAATAAAGCTCATCTCAAAGAATGGGGCTTTCAAGTGCGGGGGTGAATGCTCTGGTGAGCAGTAGATTATCTAAAATAACCTCCCCATCATTACTGTGGATTTCCCAAGGGGCTGGTGAGGTGGGAGGACTGGAAAATGAATGGACACCTCTCACCAGAACCCAGCCCCCAGCCTGAGTTTCCATGCTGAGCACTGGGAGATTTCTTGCCGTCCCGCTTAGATGATGGGGCAGTGGTGTTAGGAATGGAGAAGGGAGTAGGGAGCTGTCACCAGCATCTCTATACCAGGGTTTTAACTTGGTCTGTCAGGTATCTTTGGAACAGGATTGAAGTTGAGTGCATTATTTTGAGTGCAAGTGTGTAAACTCATCACTCCGTGTCTTGCACCAGATTCTAAAAAAGGATCCAAAGACCCCTAAAAGTTTAAGAACGCTTGTCCTAACTGCTGCACTTCAGAAATGGAAGGTGGAGTATTTCTGATATTGCTGTTTTGGGTGTGGTTGGACTTGGGGAGAACCGGGACATGTGCTGCTAAGGGCTGAATCAGTTTCTCTGCTACCCGCACCCCTTCACAGCTCTCCTGCTCTGTGAACCTTGGGGTGCACTGTGTCCAGGGAGACGGAGGCTGCCTTGGGGTCCCTCTGCACGCACAAGGCACTGAGCCACTGCGTAAACACAGCAGGGACCCTCCAGCCCTCCCTGGGATGACTGTGGAGCCTGGGCTGAAGAGGAACCCCGTCTGTGGGGTGGGGGTGGAAGAGGAGGGGATCTTTGGAGAAATGTTTCACGTCCAGGAAGAGAAGAGAAGGTGGCCAATTTCCCCCAGTTTCAAGAGGAGCAAGTCCCTCCCCCACCCAACAAAATGCCACTCGGATGAACTGACTCCTCAGTGCTGAAGATTACTCACCGCACGTCGCTGGGCTTTTGTTTGCAGGAGACTTTACTCATGTGAAATGCAAATGAACCTGGAAAAGTAACAGCTTAAACCCTTGTCCACCAACCAAGGCTCTAATTATCAGCCAGTTTTATTATGAGCTAACACATTAGTGAAAATGGTTGGCAGCCAGCAGAGAACCAAGGCCGGGACATAACATGGGATGGGGCAGGGGTCTAGTCATCACACGTGGAGATGGGCTCCCACTGGGCGAGTGTGTGGAGGCCCGGGGACAAAACTGCTTCCTTCTCAGTCTTCAGGAAGGATCGCTTTACCGAATCCGCAAAGCCAGTGCTCCCACCTAATTCAGGAGTGTGAGCACACTCTTGGCATTGAGGAAGCGGAGCTATGCAGCTCTGAGAGGCACCTTTAAAGTGAGCTGTTGGCCCAAACTTGGCTCACGCCAAAAAGATGGGAAGGATTGGCAGGGTTCACCAAGCCCCGTCTCAGGTCTCACTCAGCGTTCAGAGAGTGTAATCGGTGAATGCACAAAAGGAGAGAGTGACCTGATTCTGCTTCTCAGTGATATACCTTAGTGGTGATGATGATGATGATGGGATGTGTGTGTGTGTGTGTGTGTGTGTGTGTGTGTGTGTGTGTGTCGA